AAAGCCTGCAAGTCAGTCGGAGCGTACTCCTGCCAGGAAGACTGCTGATCATTGCACTCTCTGACTCCGCTCAGTAAAGACAAGCACGGAAGCCACAGGTGAAAGCATGAGCTTGAAAATCGCTGGCATCGACACAGAGACTTGAAGATCTGCAGCGGTATCCCCGTCTGTGCACGGAAATCATGCACCATCCATTGACTGTTGCACATAGGATTATGTGCAACCACATGACAAAGACCTTCCATGTGATCATGTTGCCGTCTATACTGATTGCTGAAGAAACGTCCCCCTCGATGTTGCTCGTATCAACTGTGCCACTCAAGACCAGCTGGTAGCAAGAATGCAGCTTAGGACTCCTATCTTGAAAGCTGTGGTCCTGGGACCTGGGCATCTGAAAGGAAAAGAGCCGTCTGAAGTAGCAATGTCTTGTATTGGGCTGTCACCTGTGTACCTGCTTACTGGCACTGATTGCTGCGGGAAAATCACCACCGTGTTGTGCAAAAAGCGGCAAACTTCAACGGATTGTGATGTTGAACCCACGCAAGCAGACTCTGAACCCTGCGTCAGAATGCATTTCCTGCGAAAGCTCAGGCACACGCCAGAAAACTGGTTTTCACAAAACCAGAACAGGCAGCAACCCAATCCGGAAATCTGACATTGAACAGCTCGGCAACGCAGAGTGCTGAAACTTCGCAATGGCTTTAGATACCACGCCTAGCTACGCAAGACTCCCTCCAGAGTGCACAGATACGGCTGTATCTGCTGCACAGGAACTGCACGCTATCCCGGCCCCCATTTACATTCAGCTAGCTTGAGCTCTAGATGCTTCTCATCACAGGACTGGAACATGCTGAAGTACCCCACACTTACCAATGGTTACTGTGCAGATTGAGTCGCGTGCCGAACTGCTGGCATTCCAGGTGGCTGGAAGCGCTGAGCTGTGAGGGAGATTGAATTCGAAAAAGGGTTCCTGTTTGCTGCGGCCGAACCCGGTCCATGTGGTCTGACTCAGTCATGCCTTGCATGCAGTTGGGTCGCACATTTCTTGTTGATGGGTGAGGTGAAGGTATGCTCCCAGCAGCCAGGATAGTTAGAAACTTGGAATCTTGGCTTAGGAGTTGCCTAGAAGAGGTTCAGACGTGCGGATTTCACTTAAGAGTAGCCGGAAAGCAACCTTTGACCCAAGATCCTGAATGCGGCGAATGTTTGAAGAATATTAGCCGAGCGCGGCTTGCTGTTCGTGTACCTTCAGTTCACCCATTTCAGCAACAGCATGCAACAGCAGCATTGCAACTGCGTTGATGGACCAATTCCTGGAGTATTAACTGATGAAGATGCCGGGGGTCGGGTATTCAAGGCATGCAGAGTTTGGTCCATCAGTAGCAATAACACGCGAGATGCAGACTTTATGTGTTGAGCCTGGAGGATTCCGTTTCAGAGTTTCGGAGGCCAGTGCTTCGGGGGAAGTATCGACGCAGGTAGTACTACGGTAGTACGTAGGGCTGGGAATGGGCTAGGCATTGTGTTTTAGGTCAAAAGCCAGTGCTTTCAAGTAGGTTGTGGCTGTCGTCGCCAGTACCTCTGCTTCGAAACCCCTACCAGTACAGGCCTATAGGGCTCTAGCTTGTCCTTATCATTTTGTATTTATCTTGCCCCTTCGCTATCCAAATTAACAGCTCCGACCTGCCGACCACTGTTCCCTTCGCCTTGCTGCTGATATGTTGGACAGTCGATTGCTGTTATGCACTTAGGAATACAAATGCCCCATCTTGGAGGCGATTGACTCCTGTTCATGTAGGTTCCGAATAATTTCAGCGCAAGTGTTTTTGAGTCTCTGGGATGGCTGAATGTATTTCCAACTCGGATTTCTTGATGATCAGCGCAGCTGGGTGATAGCTAAATAACTAGTTGTGGCTGACAGTCCACCAGTGCCCCCCCTTGTAGACAGGACTCCCCTGTCCTAGTGGCAATGCTCAGCTCAAGCTCGCGCCAGGGGACGACGGCAAACGCAACATCCCTACACCCAAACCCTGAGCTACCGTCATTGTCATTATCGTGACTGCTGCACGCGTTGTGCATGAGCAGTACCGTTTCATCCAAAGCCCCCCTCAAGAATTCATAGCTTTTAAAATCGTTGCAATCATCGACATTGGGAAGCTGCTCTGTAGTAGCACGATCACACCTTGAACCCGGCAATACGCTGTTACATAATCCAAGCCCATGCATATGCACCAAGACTCAGATAAGAAGATTAACGATCTCAGGCTCACAGGACAAGTTGTCTGCCGCGCCTTCAACAGTATCTTTGCAGGGAGAGGGAGGAGCAACCTTATGCAACCCTGTCGTGCACCAAAAAGAAACCAGCTCATTCTGCCGCACTTTGGTGCGGCAGCCAGCATTTCAATCGATCAGAAAGGGCTGAGGGCTTCAAGGCGGCTCCTGTACTTCATATCGAGATAATGTGACGACTTGGATCCTTGATAGACTCATCTTCAATTCAGAGACGCGAGGTACCTCTTCATTTCTGTCAATGCTGCAAGGGCCCTTGACGTCGCGGGAATTGCATAAGGGATTCGAAGGAACATCCTAAGATGATGGACTTCGTATCCTGCACAAAGTTGCTTAAAGAGACAGCCGCATCCTCTATTGGGCTGACGATGAGGAAGGCGTGTTCGAAAGAAAGGTCGTGAGGCCCTGGGCTCATTGTGCACGTCCTGTGATGGGCGCGCGTGAGGGATCCTGATATCAGCGACATGGACAGCCTCGAGCGTTGATATTGTTAAGGATTGTTTGTGTCTAGTGAACGTACACCCGATCGGGACACGTGCTGATGTACCTTCCATATACATATGTAATTATATGTATGCATATGCATGCACTGTGGCAATGTTTAACTACAGGGCCAGGTTGCAGGCGACGACGGCTCGTGTTGAACCAGTTTTCCAGAAGGACTTGGCTCTGCAGGGTACACTTGGGTGCGGCCTCGGCTCAAGAGCTTTGGCTTCAGCGGGATCCGGCGTGCAGCTTTCCTGCAGGCAGAACCAAGTTCACGGTCCACGTACAGAAAACTAGCCTGCATGTTGAGAACTGAAGCGAATGTTGGACATGTGGCCTAGATGATCTCTTGCAGGTGGCCACAATGCCGGCAAGAAGTCCGTGGTCTTCTCGGTCCTTTCGTTAAATGGGCCTTCTGCATGTGAAATCGTTCTAAGGGTTCCGCAGTCTGATGATGTTAAAGATGATGCTCCGAACGTGAGGCTTCATCCTGACAGCATGCCACCATGCAGGGCATGAAAGTGTGAAAGCACGGCCTAGGAGCGATGGCGCCGTACCATCTCTTCAAGGGGCGACACTGCCTGGTCCCTAGATTCGTGAGAAGCAGACAGCTAGCCAAAAAGGCATGTCCGTGAAGGTCTCTTCAGTGAGAAGGGCTTGCAACTTGCAGGGTGATTTCCAGCGACATCGCCATGCCGCTTCCCAAAGATTGGGAGCCAAATGTGCGCTCCGTGATGTCAATTGCTGCAACAGATGTTCAAAGTGTTGAAAAGCAGCTCGAATGTTTGACTCTTGCAGCCATCCTCGCCAGATCTTCGGGGAGCCGGTGCGCCTTCTGCCGAAGGCCGTTGGTATGTTGCGTGCACCGTGATGAAATCCCTTGAGCCGTCCAATCCTCCTGTGGCTAGGCGGAAAAGATCCGCATTCTGAAGCAGGCCCTTTCAAGCTATGCGACCTGCGTCACTTCACCTAGAATTTTGCGGGCCAAGTTGGGACATTCAGGGGATCTTTACATTGGGCAATCATTGCAGTTATCCTAGCATGTAAGTGCTAGCACCGCAAGTATGCGATTAGTCGCAGTTGTTGAGCTTTATCCATTAAAACAGAGTCAATGCGTGCCTCAGGCTCACCGAGTACGCATGAGCGCTTTTGTGCTGGTAGGAAAAGGGGGAGTGGATGTTCACAGTAGTCCCTGTGGACAGCTTTCAGAGTCCCCGATAAAAGGCCAGTCAAACCCATGCCTCATTTTCCCAGGGAGTGCATTGCATTGCGTTGCATGGCTGACGTTCGCGCCCTGTCAGATGGTCATGGTCTACGATGAGTCGAAGGCATAGAGAGTCTCTTGCGTTGGGGTTTAGGTCGTATAGCAAGGTTACGTGTATGGCAATTCAGGATTTTATTGCAACCGTGGGGCGGGCACTGCTGTCGTTATGCTGAAATCTGAGGCATTAGAGTTTAGCTCTGGGATTAAAGTTGAGGACGCTCTGTGCTTTCCGTTGTTGAAATCCTATGGCTCCATGTCTGTAGCAAAGGGTTGAGGGCTTATAATTATCTAGGGGATTTTAAGGGCCTAGGGACAGAACTTACTTTGCTGTCGAGAGTCGGCAGGGTTTAGGGTCTAGGGAAAGCCTCACGCCCAAAGCGCTTGGCCGAGGAAGGAGCCGAGGCAGAGCCACAGGGCAAGGGCCAAAGAGGCACCCGAAAGCTTCAAGCAAGTGCTCGCTTTTCAAAGCCAGACTCCCTGAGGCGGCTGCCAGCCCAAGGACGTCATGAAGCAGCAAGCGATGCCGCGTGCTTGAAACTGCTGAAAACCGCGCTGCTCGTACGCTCGTAGACATACCAGGACATATTCGTACAGCTCATGCTTGAAATGTTTCTATCTGTCTCTCGCTCTCTCTTTCTCTCTCTTCAGCTCTTGAGCCCTGCAGGCAGCAGGTCGCGATGTCTTCCGGTGGGAAGAGCCACAGCAAAGGCACGCGGCACTTGGCTGAGGCTTCCTCCCACAAGCAAGAGCTTTAGGTGGCGATCAGCAGCCGCTGATGGGTCAAAACATGGGCGCCAAGGGCAAAGGCTGGCCACGGCCCCGCACTTTGACGTAGCTTCGAGCTTTCCTGTCTCTGTGAGGGAAGGAGAAGGGCAAGGACAAAGGAAAGAGCAAAGGGAAAGCAGCAGACCCGGAAAAGCGCAAAGGAATGTGCTCTCATACAGTCCGACCCGTAGCTGAGGACAAGCACGAGCTTACGATTTGCATCAGGGGCTCCACCCTCGGCGGATGCTTTTCCCAGACCAACGGAACGTCCTTCTCATTCATGTTCGCGCCAGTGAGTCAGAGGCCTGTCCTACCACCTGGACGCGGAGACCGTCGAGAAGGAGCGCGATTCGCTTTGGCGTTCAAGCACGGCGACACCAAGAGGTAGTCCTGACAAGGAGGACTGTAGACATGGTGACCACCATCATGAGCTATCCTACTTCCCGATTTGCGATGCTGATCGTGGTACTGGTGCTTGCCGCAGTGGCGAAGGCAGAGGTAGGGGGAGAAGGAGCGGAGGAGGAGGAGGAGGAGGGGGAGAATGGGAGTGACTTTGTTTCGATGACAGTATCAAGCTGGTAGTCAGATTCAGGTGCGGCCAGACTGTCAAGCATCGGCCGGCTTGTCTTTACAGGTGTTGATGATGATGATGCTGATGACGATGATCATGCTCCCTGTGCATGCATGCATACATATATGTAGGTAACAGCATACATACAGGTATGTAACAACATACATCTTTGTATGTAACAGACCATCGTAGGGAAGATGCAGACCTTCCCAAAACAACGGAATCGCATGCGGAAGCGGTGTTTTGACAGGGTGGTGTTTTTTTTTCATTTTTTTTGTTGGGCGTGCGTGTGTGTGTGTGAATATATATGTATATGCACAAAAGCATGTATGTGTGTACGTTCTTCATGTGCGGGATGTATCGGCATCCATATGACATGTGTAGATTAGATACACTCGCATGCACGCCCTGGCAGGACTTCGCCGAGTGCGGAGAGCTGGCCTCCTGCCGCTGTCTGAAGACCGAGGCCGTTTTCGGGATTTTGGGATTTTGTGGTTTGGGAGCTGTCGTGCAGGACGGGCAACTCAAGGGCATCGCCTTCGTCGAGTTCAAAGACGAAGAGGCCCGGTGATAGGTAGTTCCTTTTTTGCGGAGGGGGAGATTCGCTTCTGGCGCTTCTCGGAAGAAGCCAGGCTGTGAAGAAGGCATTGGAGTTCAATAAGACCGGATACAGTGGACGAACCATCTACGTCAGCAAAGCATGCGACCGCGAAGGTCGGCACTCACCACTTCCCTTGATGAGTGCCGGTGCTTTGCCCTGCTGGACGGCAGGCAAAGGCAAGGGCAAAGATAAAGGAAAGGGCAAAGGCCGTGCAGATTCCTTCGCTCGGAGAGGTGTGCAGTCTTTTCGCTCAGCTTTCAGAACAAGACTCCCTGCAGGCGGCTGGCAGCCCACGGATGTCATGAAGCAGCGAGCGATGCCGCGTGCCTGAAACTGCTCCATGAAAACCATGCTAGGGTTGTACGCGTGTACGGAGGCAGGCATAGTGGTGGTGCCTCAAATGTGGGCGCTCCTCTCTCGCTCTCTCTTCAGCTCTTGAGCCCTGCAGGCAGCAGATCCCGATCTCTTCCGGTGGGAAGAGCCACAGCGAAGGCACGCGGCACTTGGCTGAGGCTTCCTCCCACAAGCAAGAGCTTTAGGTGGCGATCAGCAGCCGCTGATGGGTCAAAACATGCTCGCCAAGGGCAAAGGCTGGCCACGGCCCCGCACTTTGACGTAGCTTCGAGCTTTCCTGTCTCTGTGAGGGAAGGAGAAGGGCAAGGACAAAGGAAAGAGCAAAGGGAAAGCAGCAGACCCGGAAAAGCGCAAAGGAATGCGCTCTCATACAGTCCGACCCGTAGCTGAGGACAAGGGCAAAGGAAAGGGCAGCCAGAACGACGAGCTTACGGTTTGCATCAGGGGCTCCATCCTCGGATGCTTTTTCCCAAACCAACGGAATGTCCTTCTCATTCATGTTCGCGCCAGTGAATCACAGGCCTGTCCTACCACCTGGACGCGGAGACCGTCGAGAAGGAGCGCGATTCGCTTTGGCGTTAAAGCACGGCGACACCAAGAGGTAGTCCTGACAAGGAGGACTGTAGACATGGTGACCACCATCATGAGCTATCCTACTGGTATCGGAACAAGACAAGATGGCAGCGACGCTTCAAAGAAGTACTTGGCCGCTACTTCCCGATTTGCGATGCTGATCGTGGTACTGGTGCTTGCCGCAGTGGCGCAGGCAGCAGTAGGGGGAGAAGGAGCGGAGGAGGAGGAGGTGGAGGAGGAGGGACTTCGTTTCCATGACAGTATCAAGCTGGTAGTCCGATTCAGGTGAGGCCAGACTGTCAAGCATTGGCCGGCTTATCTTTCTTCTTCTTGGTTCGCCGCAGAGGAGTCCGCGATGCGTTGGAGCAGTAACTTTGCTACCGGCATCTCTAGGACGTGCTTGTAGCCTCCTTCACACGCCTGCACTTGCAGGTTGTCCTCGCATCCCCGCTCCGAAGAGCCCATAAGCAGGACGCAACACTCACCAAAACACTAAGCGGACACTTCCCAAGAACGTGAATTACACACTATTTGTCACAGCACGGGACGCCGAGTTGAAGATGGAACCACTTCTCAAAAGTCAGCTCAGCCTATGAAGAAAGAAGACATACGAATTGCTAATGACTTCAGCTACATCGGCTTCTGTGGCTTGTTGCGTAGGAGTGGAATCCTCAGTAATGTGAGTGATGGAGGCTTGCACTCAAAGAGCTGAGCGATAATGGCCATTGCGGGCGGTGGCACCAAGATGGCAAACCACGCTGCACACCTCGTAGTGTGCTGCACTGGTGTTGCAGGCTGCATCAGTGAAGTAGGGGAAGGTGATGGAGTACGGGGCCTCCTATCTTATGTCCACTGTCATCAAATCTTGCAACCTGAAACACTCAAATCGGGGGCGGCTCACCAACCGCGCAAAGGTCTGGGCCTGATGCGAGCGGCTTTGTTTGTGCCAACTGTTGATTAAGGCCTGAAGAGTTGTAACAGAGTCCGATGCTGAGCCAAGCACTGCCGGCATCTGTCACCTCCGAAGGCAGGTCCGGGGACGTGGAACTAGCTCTAGCTTCCCACAAGCCGCGGATGTGGGCCGGAACTAAACTCGAGCCTACGTCCCTACGTGGTGGAGGAATTCTGCCGGATCCTGTTGACTCCTGTCGGGCCAGCCAGAGAGCGCAAGATGCCACTGTAGCAGCCGCCACAAGTGAAGCAATCCGCCTGGGCAAGTGAACACCTTATCAGTGCTTGCCGAAAAACTGGATGCAGAGGTGCGAGATCGATCCCTGCACAAGTGAATGCCCATCCCATAGAGAGAATGACTGCATTGGCAACAAGTGTTGATGATGATGATGAGGATGACGATGATCATGCTTCCTGTGCATGCAGAATCGCCTGCGGAAGCGGTGTATTAAGTGGGTGGTGATATTTTTGGTGCGGGGGGGGGGGGGGAGCATGATTTATCATGTATGTATGTATGTATGTATGTATGTATGTATGTATGTATGTACACACACACACACACACATATATATATATATATATATATATATATATGTATGTACATGCGCGTGTGAATATATATGTATATGCACAAAAGCATTTATGTGTGTACGTTCTTCATGTGCGGGATGTATCGGCATCCATATGACGTGTGTAGATTAGATACACTCGTATGCACGCCCTGGCAGGACTTCGCCGAGTGCGGAGAGCTGGCCTCCTGCCGCTGTCTGAAGACCGAGGCCGTTTTCGGGATTTTGGGATTTTGTGGTTTGGGAGCTGTCATGCAGGACGGGCAACTCAAGGGCATCGCCTTCGTCGAGTTCAAAGACGAAGAGGCCCGGTGATAGGTAGTTCCTTTTTTGCGGAGGGGGACATTCGCTTCTGGCGCTTCTCGGAAGAAGCCAGGCTGTGAAGAAGGCCTTGGAGTTCAATAAGACCGAATACAGTGGACGAACCATCTACGTCAGCAAAGCATGCGACCACGAAGGTCGGCACTCACCACTTCCCTTGATGAATACCGGGGCTTTGCCCTGCTGGATGAGGCAAAGGCAAGGGCAAAGATAAAGGAAAGGGGAAAGGCCGTGCAGATTCCTTCGCTCGGAGAAGTCTGCGGTCTTTTCGTTCGTCGCAATGTGGGCCGTGCTGATTTCAGGTAGGAGGAAGGCGACCGAACAAAGCAGCCGAGGCTGGACGTTCGGAGCCTTGGTGGTCGGGATGCCTTGGGCTGTTTCTGAGGATGGAACCATGGCCGGCATCCTCAAACGTTTGAGCCAAGCCTTTGTGTGACGTGACTTGGACCTTGCGTTGCTGCTCAGGTCAAGTCCACAGGCCGGTTCGGGGGCAGCTCTAACGAAGGGGCGCACCTCCTGAAGCCGTCTCTGCAGGCACGAAGCAGACCTTCGACGACTCGGACGATGAGGAGGAGGAGAGGCCCGCGAAGCCGCGTTGAGCGCGCAAGCGCAGCGCCGCCACAGCCCTCGAAACAGTGACAGGTGGCCAAAGAGCCCGTCGTTGAGGAGGACGACGATGACGACGATGAATGAGCATGACAGGCCATGCCCAGGAGCGTGACAATGCTTGAAGATTTTCTCGGCAGCATGCTTGAGAGACAAGGCATTCTGCCAAGCTGGAGCGACAAGCACCAACAATCACCAAGCACTTCGCCTTGTGTTTCAAGAGCTGCCATCAGACAGACCTCCACGCCGTTTGATCGCTGGAGTTCCCATCGTGTCTTGCATGAAAGCACAGTAGTGAGGAAAGGGAGCTTTGTGTAACTTTGTTATTAGTTTCAGTGTGCACTCCAATTAAATTTGTCCATAGCTTCTGGCCGGCCCCTGGCACCGACCTGCACCTCTGTGACATGATTGATTCCTGCAACGTCCTTTATTTTACCGTTCAGTTGCTCAGGACGAGCATGAGCACGTAAGTGCTGAGGGTGGAGAGGGCATGCAGGACTCAAACCATGAGCAGATGTTCGTCAGCGGCCGGCTCCACTTGCGAAATCGCCTCGGGAATGGCCAAGTCATGTTTAGATTGTGAGACAGATATCTTCAATACCAAAGCAGTCGTGTCAGAAAATGGACGCACGGCATTGACTGTGGATTCCCCAGGAGGTCTCGTGTGAAAATGCTACTCCCTGCAGTTGGAACTGTGTATCCAGAAGGCAAGACGCCCGAGCTCCTAGTGGAGCTTGAACTGGCAGCACTTTAGCTCTATGTCTTTGGGAGAAACAAGGATCGCGGCGCGGCCCGCTAAAGAGAGCGGGAACGGTGCGCTCAGCTTTCCGACCACGGCCCCGTTGTCTCGATGACCCGGTGTGCTGCTCCAGCGAAATTCCATGCAGTTTCAAGCAGTTTACTACCTCAATCCGAGTAGAATTCGGTCCGATCTTACTGTCACTGGGGCGGTGCGCTTCTGACCCTAGAGCTGCGGCACAAGAAGGCTCTCCGCGTGACCCTTGGCCCCCGCTGAACATCAGTGGGTGCGAGCGATCGAGTTTCAAGCAGAAATGGCGTGGAGCCAGCAGGAGTGACAAATCACAGGATGCAGGTTCTCCCTGCGGTGCGACTTGTTTCAGCTGGGCGGGTGGCAAAAAAGGTTCAGCCTTCAACGTCGTGTGAAGATTTGGACACTGCTGCCTCCCTTGTGCTTCGGCATGCGCGACCGCCTTGGCTCAAGCCTCAGCACTTTCACCATGTTACCGCGCCTGTGTGGCTTCTTTTTAACACTGGCACACTTCTCGCACGCCCGAGACGTGTGCCCCTCCGACACAGCGTTCCCTTCGTTCCCTTCGCAATCTCTGCTGCAAAAGTCGTGGTACCCCCTCCGACACAGCTCTCTCACATCCGGTACAGTCGAGAGCAAGCGGCGCGAGCACACTTTGGACGCTCAGATTTGCAGGGTGGCGTTGTGCCGGGATGAGTATTATGTGGACTGCCCCGCTTCCTGGGCAACTCGGCTGTGCAAAGATCCTCGTGATATTCGGAGGCTGCCGCCGCTGTCTCCTTCTTTAGTTGCTTCTGCGTGCTTGCAGGCGGAGGTCAGCAGAGGCTTTCTCGCGATTGCTTGGCTCATGAGGTATATGCGGTGCGGGGCACTGACCCCAACGGTTTCCGAGTCATCAGCCTGGACAGAGACGTGGGACAGCATGTCGAGTCAATCCAAGTCTCTGAAGGCTGTGCGAGGGTGATCGTTGTGGATGAGGACTCCTCTTCATCCAACGACAGATAGGGTCAACAAATCAGGGACAGGAAGTATTATTGATTTGTGTTGTGTCCCTCGGTCTCAAGAGTCTTTTTGTACTGTTCACAACGTTGTGTGGCACAAGGAGAATCCGGACGATCAGACGACTTGCAACCACCCAGGCGCAAGCTCAGTGTACCTTGCTTGATGAGTTCCTAGTTGTCGCAGTGTCAGGCTGCCCTGAGCTGCCGAATGACTTCTCGGAGGACGTCGGTGGGCTTCAGCTCTTCAACGCCCAGGGCTCCCCGCTCTGGCTCTCCGGCGCCGAGCAGCCGAGCTGCAGGGCGGAGCTGAGCCTGATCACCACCTGGGATGGGAAGGAGATGCACTGCTCCCTCGAGACCAAGTCCGTCTTCGGCAGGACCTGGACCGCAAGAGACATGAGATGGGCCTGCGGCGTCACTTATGCCCAGGACGAGCTGCACTACGAGCTCACACAAGTATCGCTGAGTTCGGGCTGCGATTCTGCTGTGATCAAGGGCGACTCTGGCAAGACGAGGTACGTGCCACGAATTCGGCAGATTAATCAACACGATGATTTCTACGATACGCATTACTTCACCCTCATGGATAATGCGGATGAGGTCACAGAGTATGCGACTGACTTTTCCCTTTACGCTCACGATGGAGGCTTGCGACCGATTCAGAGCATTTGACCCGCAGGCTATTTGGTGATCCCTGGGCAGGGCACCATCATTGATACGAAGGAGGCTTTTGAGGCTTACGCGGCCTGTGAGGAGTCGGATGCATGCTGCGTCTTGGCACAGTGTGAGAGCAGGCCCAGCAGGTGGACTAAGGCATATGCGCTGGGCATGCAGGATTAGCGAGAAGGAAATACCCTCTGGGTGAGTGTGAGCATGTGTCTTGTCGTTTGTCTGTCTTGGGGGCTGGCTCAGGTGGTCTGACGGAGGGCGAGGGCTTGCAATACACCAGTTCGGTCCGAAGTTAGGATATGGTACAGTGCGATGTGAAGCCCGTGGACGGCAAATACTTCAGCACCTGCATCAAGAGTGCAAAGGCTGAGGTGGTCAGGCACAAGGTTGCACTGCGGAGCGTGAACGACCCGTTTGCGAAGCTTGTCTTTGGGCGAGGAATGGAGCAAGCCAAGAAAGATCAGCTGCTACAAATACTCCTGGCCAGCAAAGACTCGCAACTCTCCTCCTCAGCGATTTACAACTTCATGACAGTCCTGGAAGGCTACATTGGCGCCTCAGCCGAAAGGGCTGTAAAGGGTTTCTTTCGGTGGGACATGCTGCGGACATGCTGGCACTGATGCCAGATGCTGGGCTTGCGCTGATCGCAAGTGCTTGCAACAGATTTTTCAAGCGGTGGCTTTGCGGCCGGCCGTCGAGAAGCATGCAGCATGCAGTGTTCATTTTTGGGACGTTCTTCCTACCGAAATACGCGGCGTTTGCAAGCATCGAACTTGAGGACCTCCTCGGTGGGCGCAGCTTGTCGCAGGGCGTTTTGCTTGGTTCCTGCGCGCTTCCACTTCGAAAGTGACGGCCGTGTGTTGTTCCTCTAAGCACGCGTGTTTCGGATGTTCCTGCCTTGACAGTGAAAGACCGTCGCTCAAAAAACCTCGGGACGTCGGACAGATTCGGACAGTTTCCTGTTTGCGGTCGTCTCGCATCATCACGTGAAGCCCAGGTGAAACACTTTGTCGGATTTTCTGGGGGGTTCGTCAGCCTCCCAGTGCTCCGAGGCGCAGCCTCCAAGTTCGAGGACGAGATTTTGTCGAGGATCACGGCTGAGATCGGCCTCTTGACCCAGGCAGCCATGGCTGTGGAGTTTGGAGCCGGAGGTACTCACGAGACCAAGTGGGGCAGAGAACTCGCCGAGAACTTCCGGCACTCCGGCTGTGATCAGGCAGGGAAGGGCGTGCCCCCACACCCTCCGAACGCCTCGCAAGCTCGCAGTCTTCACGGCAGCCTGTGTCTGGTCTCACCGCTTGCAGGCCAAGCACGCTGCTGGCTTGCCACCGCTGCGCTCGCCCGGAACGTGTGAAAACCTCAGGCGCTTTGATTTTTATACGGAACATTACAGGCAGCTGCCCGCACACCTGAAGATGTACCGAAACAGTTTGCCGTGGTGCTTGCTGGGACACTCTACAAGGATTCCATGTCTAGATGTGTGTGTGTGTGTGTCTCTCTCTCTCTCTCTCTTTCTCTCCCTACTCTGTCTATTTCTCTCCCTCTCTCTCTCTCTCTCTCCCTTCCCTACTCTCTCTGTTTCTCTCTCTCTCCCTCTCTGGCTCGCTCGCTCTCTCTCTCTCTCTCTCTCTCTCTCTCTCTCTCTCTCTCTATTTCTCCCTCTCTGTCTCTCTCTCCTCCCTTCTTTTTCTCGCTTGCTCTCGCTCTCAATCTCGCTCTCGCTCTCGGCGCTATCCTCTCGCTCTCGCCGCTCTCGTCGCTCTCGTCGCTCTCGCCACTCTCGCCGCTCCCGCTGCTCTCGCCGCTCTCTGTCTCTCTCCCTCTCTCTCTCTCTCTCTGTCCTTGGCAGCTCCATGCTCTGAGAGGATTTTGCTGCAGAAGATGCTTATGATGACGACCGCTATGACATCTTGACCGATTGCTTTGTCAGCGAGAAGGTAGCCACCGAAAATCGTTTCGAACAGTCCAATCAGCTGAGGGGCATTGGACAAGCACTTCAAGGTCTTCTACGACTCATGGAAGCAGGGTGAGTTCGCTGTGGCACAGAACAGGCTGGATGAGTTTGAGTCGCTTTTGGAGCAGTTGTCCTGGAAGGAGACAGACCGTGACCGGAACACTCTGAAGACATACCGTGCGGCAGTTTTTTCCGATCAGGGCAACATGGAGGAAGCGAAACGCCTCTTGGAACAGGTCCTGGACTACCGCAAGAATTCCGTTGGTGAGAAGCATATGGAGACGCTGGCCTGCCACGACCTTCTTGCAAAGCTCTTTTTGAACTGGCGCCGTTTTGAAGAAGCCGAAGCGCATGCCCAACGGGCCTTAAATGGCAGAGAGGATCTAGAAAAGAGCGACCATCTGCATGTGCTTCGGAGCCGTAGCTTTCTGCAGGAGATCCGCATTGAAAAAGCGCAGTCGGAAGAGTCTTCTTTATCCGAGAAAGTTTTCGAGGAGGCCTTCAAAATCATGCTGGACTGTGCAGCGAAGATGCTGCCACAGGAGATCCTGTGCAAGCCAGCATTCGCGGTATCTGGCTACGAAGATCACAGAGCTGCTCTCGCGATGTGGAACAACGCAGCATGTGTGGCGAAGCGCTTCGCAGCACTACCTAAGGTCAACGAAGAAAAGAAGAAGGAGATGCTGCAGCAAGCGAATACTATATACAAATCCCTATATGTAGCATCAATGAAGCCCTGCAGTTCCCATCATGCTATACACCATGCGCACATTGCATGCAACTGGGCACGTGTGCTGGACCTCTGCAAAAGCGCAGAGACTGAGAAAAGGTTGGAGGAAGCGGTTAAGACTGTCGAGGGCATAAGCTTCACAAGGTCAACAGAGGACCTTGAAGCCTTCGGAGACCAAAAACCATCCGAGGAGGACCCACCGTTGGAGTTTCTGATCCTTTCCAACAACTTAGCATTTCTCAAAAGCAAGCGTGGCACGGTTGAGGACCTCGTGACTGCCAAGACCTTGTATGCAAAGACCTTGGTAACAATTCAGAAGAAGCTTGATCTACATTCCATGCAGCAGGACTATCGTGTGCAGCACGAGGCTTTTTCGGCAGCCATGACCTTGGCAGAGATTCTGTTAAAGCTGATGGATCAAGCAAGCTCAGAGATTCTGTTAAAGCTGATGGATCAAGCAAGCTCAGATGATGCACGAAAAGAGCTTCAGAAGGATGCGGCCCAGAATTTCAAGTTTGCAGCTGAAGGCTTTGAGAAGCTGCTGGGCCCTTTGAACGTGAGAAGTGTCGCATGTCGGCACTCTTATGGATCTGTGAGGCTGCAGCAGGGTAAAGAAGCCGTGGCGACTCTTGAAGCGGTGGCGGGCTCTTGGGAGAAGGTGAACATGGGAGGAGCCGCTGCACCCATGCTGCAACAAAGCCTTGGCCTTGATCGGAAGGAGGATGTGCCGCCAAAGCTGCTCCAAAAGCTGATGAGGGCCAGAGCCCTTTTCAGTGCGGCTTCTGCTTTCAAGGCGATTGGCATGGCGACTGATCCGTCCGTGGACACTCCGCCAGCTCCGGCAGAGATCTGCCAAAAGTTCGAAGAAGTCCTGAAGATGAACAAGGAGATGGGCAAGGACGATTCGTCAGAGGTGTTTAGACGCCTGAAGGGAATCCTCGCCATGGCACATGCAGAGCTGGGGCAACTGCATGGTAAAGAATACCAAGAAACCAGAACCCTGCAGCAGTTTAGAACGACACAAGAGCACTTCGATGAAGCGCTCAAGTGGCTTCCTGATTCTCCAGCAGACAAAGAGGGTCATCTCCTGCGCTGCAGGACTCGTTTCAACAATGCATGCTTGCAGCTCACTGCGTTACGCTATGCGGACCTTTCAACATGGGAGAAAGTCAGTGAGAATTTCAGTCTTGCAGCTGATGGCTACGGTGAATTGACCAGGTCCGGCAAATGCCACTGCCAGAAAGACCCCCGGGAGTGTTTCTATTACCAGCGAGCCATGTGCAAGTTCAACCTGATCAAGGCTCTGGAAAGGGGCATAAGACTGCGTGTAGAAGGCTTCGCTACTGTAGACTCCAGTTTCTTGCGAGTTGCTGACACAACTGAAGCGAAGGCCGTCGGCAAACAAAGAGACTGGCAAACTGTCAAAGCTCAGCAGAAGGTGTTTGAAGACGCTCGGGCTTTCGCTCTTTCTTGATGGTTCAGGCTTGTTCACGTAAAACCCAAACTCGAAACCCCCTGCACCATCCTGCACCCTGAATTTGAGACTTCGGCCGAGGTGCTGTGCGAGGAGCTGAAACAGCGGAAGGACTGCGCTCCACCAGATCCGAAGTGGGAGCAGGAGCTGAAACGGAATGACCGCCGAACCAGCATCATGAAGGAAGGAACCAAACCTTCTAAAGTTTCAGATTCGCCGGAATCCCCGTGATGGCACACCATGATCCGTTGATTCCTATGTTTGCATCTACCAGATGCTGTTTCATCCAGACCGTAGTACCGAAACAGCCTGCCACGTGGGCCGATGTAAGTATCACGGGTTCCATGAATTCAGTTTGGACCAGCGGAGTGAAGATGGCCTGGGGCCGCTTGGAGAAACTACTCCGCTGTCCACTCTGTCCACTCAGAAGCAACCCCCAAAGGGGCGCTTCGATCCGAGGGCTTCCACCTGCCAAAGTGCATGTGGGTCCTTGCGTTTGCCGACTCCGTTGACTGTTGCAGATCAGGCAAAAGCTTCGGCAATTTACGGTTCTTCCTGTGCGACTTGCAGAAACCAGCGTTTGCTCTCGTTGAAGAAGGACCCTCGCCAGCCCGATCACCGAGCTCCACCTCCCAGAGTCAACCAAACACAGTGTCTTGTTCTGCATTGCTGTACTCCTTGGAGGATTCTCCCTTTGCACCCATGGATTCCGCTACACGGCAGTCCGTGCTTGCCGCAGCTTGCACGGACAAATAGCCGGACAAGTGCTGAAAAACCAAGACGCTCTTTCCAGCGAGGCCCTGCTCCATTTTCGGCTACCTGCGCTCGGCTTGTTAGTCGTTGCTCTACACACCTGTTTCGGCCGCCCACGATGCGTTCCCAGTTGCACCTCCACTCGCCGCATGTGCGGCGAACGCGGCGCCGCTTCTGAATCTCGCCCGATATGCGCCAGTGCCCTGGGACCACTTATGCTCGCGCCGAAGTGGCATGTAGGGCCTCCGGGAATTTACTAGAACCAGTTTTGTACATCGGGACTGGATAATTGAGTCCGTCGACCATCGCACTTTTGGTCGAAGGTTCATCGCTGAAGTTTGCAATGTAGAAAAAATTGCAAGGTTAAACGTGACGGATTGTTTTTGTTTGAAGCTGTTTCGGACTGGCAACTTGCCAGAAACAGGGCGCGGCCTCGTATGACTTGCCGGGTCCGTGCCATCATCCCTGCACGGAGATGCTCCGAGACCGTGGCTGTGTGATGTCCGTTCTATTGACTTTGGCTGCCTCTGCCGCCGGCTCGCTTGCACTCATCGTTGCTCACACGTTTACGTAACTGAGGTTAGACATTGTGAAGGAATGCTGAGAACACCTTGTGCTCGGCAGTAGTTGTGGCTCGACAACAGAATGTCGTCGTGCAGCATCACCGTGAGGAATGTGCCCTCATGGATTGCGGTTGTGCAACAAATGCCGAACTCAAACCCCTTGAGACTCCTAACTCCGAAGCAGAGGGAATGGTGGCACCGGTGTGAGTTGCGTAGTCCATGGCCCAGGACCGTGACTGTTGCTCAAGAGAAGTCTGTGCCAAGCATTGAGTAATGACCCCCCTATGCGAGGCAGGTGAAACATGAGGGAACCCTTAAACTGATAAAAGTCAGCGCTACGGTCACGATTAGATGCATCTTGAAAGGACGGCAATCTCAGCAGCGCAGCTGCAGAGCGCGAGCTCCGAAAGGCAAGTTCCTGAGTTAGCAGCTGCCGTGAATGGGATTTGAAGGGCAGGTGACGCGGGCGACAGGTTTCATCCGGACATGTGCAGAGCTGTGCAGCCGAAAGGCTCCAGAGCAGCCGATCTCGTTCAGATTTGATTGAAAAAAGCAACAGAACTTATATTGTTCCGATAAAGATACCCGCAAATCACCGAATTACATAGGGCGGGCAGGATGCTGAAGCGTTCCACCTGCAGGCTCGGCTGCAAGAGCTTTGCGCCCAACGTGCTGCGCGCCTCAAAGAGGAGTCGAAAGAGTTTGTTGCATGGTCTGGTGCCAGGATGTTCGTTGTTTCGGGGTCTAAAGAAGCCGTCTCTTCACAAGAAGCCGTGTTCCTTGATCGGAGAACGGTTCAGCGACAGTGCAGACTGTTTGGGCAGACAAATCGCATGACTTTGGTGCTTCACACATTCGTTTCTTTGCTGAAGCGATGCTTTCCAATGATACCAGTTGCCACACCAGTTTTTGAATCGCCCGCAACCAACAGGCCCTCAACCGCTCGCAGGCGCAGGCCCGCGAGCGGGTGGCGCATGCCCGCGCAGAAGCAGAGCGGGAGCTTTGCACAGAGCGATGGTCCGGGTGCCGCTCCCAGCGCAAAGCTCTGGGCCCTGGGCTTCGGATCCCAGGAACGACGGGATGATGAGGGCATTTGGGGAAGCAGGATCAGATCTTAGACCAATGATTGACACTCTCGGTTTGTCAGACCGAGCATGAACCCGAGAGCTGCCCGAAGGCTTCAAATCGTCGACCGCCTCGTTCGCCAGGACACGGGCTTTGACTTGTGCAATATCAGAAGTCTTGAAAGGAGACCTTCCCCAGATGCTTTCAGCATCTTTCAGCCCAGTATCTGCGTGGGCATGCTGCCGGTTTAGCTCAGTGTAGGAGAAGCTCCGAAGAACTGACGGCTCGTCGCTCCTAGGAAAGCAGCCATCTTGTCCGTAAGCTTTGGCTGTTGTCTTAAACCCTAAACCAGGTTTCGGTGCGTAAATTGGGCTTGTCGACGTCACAGCTCTGAAGCCCCTTTTGTTTCAGTCTCACAGATTGCCCCAGTGTGAGCGCCGAAGCCCCTAAACCCCTAAACCGTGTCCAGGACAAGTGGGATGCCTCCATGAAGGGCAAGGCCGACAGTGCAAGCACCGACGACACTAAGTAGGGGGTTCATCCAAAAGGCTTTCTACTATTGGGGGCCGAAGACCGGGGTGGAGGGTGGTGACGGCGCCGAGCTTTGGGTTGCAATGGCCAAGATCCGGCCAATGCAAAAACACCAACCGAAGCACGCAGAGAATTGCAAGCGAGCCAGCAGAGAGGCAGAGAGGGAGAGGAAGGATTGCAAGTCGACCTGGGCGAGGAACTGGTGCATCTTCGACATCTCGCCAAACTGTTCAGCACCCAGTTTTGTGTTTTGCACACGGGCCCTCCCAACGTAGCTTGGAGCATCCGAGCAGAGCTACCGTATCTGTCACATTGACATGCCTGGGAGGGGGCTGGCTGCTCAGCATGTTCAAGTCTGCCAAAGCAGTGACAGTTCCGTATTGTTTTCGCCAAAGCCCCAGATCTAGCTTTGATGTTTGGTCGTGGATGCGTAGCCGCAGCCTACAGGGCGAGCTTCCTGCTTGACTTGCTGACACTTGCAAAACTTTTTTTCGAGCCATCCCCGTAGCCTAGCCGTGCCTGGAGCAAACTTCTGAAGTTTCCAACAGAATGAACGTCGCCCAATACCGACGAAACCACCCGCACCAACTTATGCCCCAAACCCGGGTTCGAAGCTTTCAAATTTTGACTCCACATCGACCCTACGTAACTGTAGCCCAACCATGGGCCCCAAATTCTGAGGCTCTCCAAGGACAGAGACAAGGCCGGAAGCCTGGTCTTTACCGGCTTTTCACTTTGCACCGGACCTATTGCATTAAGAGTTCCTAAATCATGTTGTGGCATGACCAAAGCTTTAGAAGGACGAAAATTATTCCACGGTCGAATTATTCCACGGTCGAGTGAGCCCTCTTGTCAGCCCGCATCCTTGCTGCTCCCTTGAGAAAGTGGATGAAGCACCCTGAAAGCTAAGGTTTGTAAGAAGCTTTTCCTTGCATGCATTAGAAGCACAAGAGCTGACATGCAGAAGGACCGAATAGCGAATACAAATTTGCCGCAGCATGGCCAACCACAAACGGCAACTGCAGTTGGCACTGCCCCTTAACTGATTCGCTTGCCTAAGCCCTTACATGCTAAGCCCAAACCTTAAACCTCAATCTGCATACGCTGCCAGGTGGAAAAGAGGCCTCTAAAACTTAAACCCTGAGCCGTTTCGAGGTGGTCATCGCCGTGCTGGCGGCTGCCCCGAGGAAGCCCACGAAGAATGCCCAGGGCGAGCAAGTCATGGTGCCGCGCCCGGGAAGGGTCCCAGACTGCAAGCTTGACACTTCTTTTGGCAATGTTATAGTATGTTGCAATACACTCATATAACGACTAGAGGGGACACTGTTATGTATTATAGTACAGTTCTTTGTCGGCTATAGGGGGTTAGATATGGCTTTAGTTGTTGGGACTCGGAGGAATTTCAGGGTGAGTTCTGCGCCGGATGGTGTATCTGGACTTGGAAGGGTGGCGTGAGGCAGCTTCGCTAGCCAGTTCCACCGGAAGCTCGTAAGTAATGACTAACATATTGGGGAAAAAGCATTTTCCCCCCTAACATATTGGAATATGTTGGGGAAATGTTTTTCCCCAATATGTTAGTGCATTCTTGAGCAAGATGACAACAGCTCCAGTCCGGCAGCATCTGTGGCTTTGACGCCCGCGTGCCCAGATGCCACGGCCGAGCCATGGCCCACACGGGGTTTGTGAAGAGGCTGTTTAGTGATAGGAGGTATGGCTTCATCTACAGTGACTCCCACGAGAGCGATGTCTATTTTCACTTCTCTGAGCTGGATTACGGGGAACACGTGTCCGAAGGGACCGAAGTGGCCTTCGACATAGAGGAAGATCCATGGAGTGGACAGATCAAAGCCGTAAATGTCAACGAAAGGCAGCGCAGTGCCCGGAGAAGCGAGGAGAGGGGTCAATGGCCCACCTACCAGCCAAGTCATTCTGGAAGGGCTTCTGCCTCTGCTGCCTGGGAGAGCACGCCAGCGGACGGAAGCGCGCAGGAGTGGAACGAGGGATGGTCCTCGCAAGGCTTCGCCACGGAGCTCCGGTCGTGGCTGTTCGGCCTGGATCATGGCAACGGGGAGATGCTGCGGTTTGCAGAGGCTATATCCTGGCACTACGACACATGGGAAGCACTGCTGGAGGGCTCCATCCAGGACGCCGATGCGCAGCCAGTGTTGCTGAAGGAGGACTTCCACTACAAAATCGGTCTCAGGGAGACGGGTCACACCATCCGAATTGCCGCGGGCCTGCGAGATTTGTTGGACAAAGGCCCGAGCAAGAGCCAGGAAGCGCCTCCAGGGACATCCTCTGAGCCAGAGGGTGGGAGAAGGGCCCAGGGAGAGACCGAGGACAGCGACTCAGAGAGTGGGGCAGAAGGTGAAGGCTCCGTCCTCATCTTCGTTTGCATCCTGGCTCGGGGTGTGGAGTTAAGCCTGAGCGTGCCTGTCGCTGCTACCGTGTCGGAGGTCATGGCCAAGTTGGAGGAGCTCGAGGCTGTGGAGCCTGGCACCCAGCGCTTGTTCTCGCTGTCGCAGGCGAGGAAGTTACAGCACGATGAAATGGTGACGGCTGGCGCCCAGCTCTTTCTGTCGAGCCCCGAAGATGAGCGTATGCTGTCCTTGCTTCCAGAGCACATCCGGCCCCACCTGAACCCGGCGTCTCTGGTGGACGTGGTACTTGACTTGGACCGGAAGCCAGTGGTCCACGAGCGAGACGACCAGGGCAAGCTGTACAAGCGCGTCCTCGATGTCTGCCCGCTTGTACAGCAACCGGACTTAGATGCGGCAGAAGCTCACGAACTGCTCGCCGGACGATGGACAAAGGATAACCGCTCTGGAATTTCGGGCACCCTCCACAGGGTGGCACGCATCGTGGATCATTACGGTGGGCGCAGCCTAACAGGACTGACGTTCCGCATGGCACATCCCATGTATGGCCTCGCGGAGAAAGTGCCACAGCTGCGCAGAGTGATCGAGGATGGAAAGTCGTTGTTGGTCCTCGGACCCCCCGGCTGCGGCAAGACGACCCTCCTGCGCGAGGTGGCACGCTCCCTTAGTGAAGAGTTCAATCGTCGGGTTTTTGTCGTCGACACCTCGAGCGAGATCTGCGGGTTCGGCAAAAGCGCGCATGTTGCGGTTGGTCGAACGACGCGGAGGATGCAAGTGGCGGACAGGAGCCTCCAGCATCAGGACATGCTGGAAGCCGTGCAGAATCATACGCCAGAGGTGCTGGTCATTGACGAGATCGGAAGCCAGGACGAAGTTGAGGCAGCTTGCCGCATCGGTTTCAAAGGCATCGCCTTAGTGGCCACGGCGCATGCCAACAACTTAAAAGAGGCCATTGACAACGTGGCTTTGCAGTCTTTGTTCGGTGGTTTTCAGACCAGCACAGTGTCGGACCAAACTGCGCAGCGTTCTGCCGACGGACGTAAGTTTGTGGAGCAGCGCCGCAGTGCACCTGTCTTCAAGAGCCTGGTCGAGCTTGGCCGCGGATCCGGCGACGAGTGGGTTGTCTACGAAGATCTGGAAGCCGCCATCGATCTGATCCTGGCACGGAAGCCGGCTAAAGGGTGCAGAGTGCCTGCGCCCAGCACCCACGCACGGTCACGCACCTCGAAGCCACCTAAGAAGGGCCCCCACCACCGGGAGGTTACCTTCCGAGCTCCCGAGGCCGAAGCGATGGAGGAGCCGAGGCCCGGGCCCCGTGCTCCTGATCCTGACCCCCCCGAAGCAGGTGCCAGGATTGCACCGGATGAGATGGAGGCCCGGAGGGCCATGCGAGATCGAGAAATTTCGGGAAGAGCCTACCGGTTGTGCTTCGACGGCGGGGTGGATGGTGGCGATAATGGACCTGGTGGTGCAGGAGCCATCCTCCGTCGGCTTCGCGCCGGAACAGGCCATCCGGATCGGCGGACTGGGAAGACGTGGATGCTGTACCATCCGAAATCCTGTCCAGAACTCATGGAGTATGCTGGCCTGCTGATTGGTTTGCGTGGCGTGTCGCAGATTTTGCCCACTTTGCAGCCCAAACCCGAGGCGATCCTGATCGAAGGTGATTGCAAGCTCGTGGTCGACCGCCACGGTGGAGGTCGTGCGGCACAAAGCTTGCGCAGTGAGCACCCCGATGTCGAAGCCAAGCTGGATGCCTTGGCAAAATTGGTGGAGGAGGCCAAGCGGCATTTGGAGAGGCAGAACGTTACGCTCGACGTCGTGAGGTGGCGCAACCGGGGCCGGAACAAAGCCGCCGACCGGCTCTCGCACGAGGCGCGAGAGAAGCGCCTGAGCAGCATCGAAGTGGAGTCGGAGGTCCTGGTGCTTCTGAGAGCCTTTGAGGTCAACCAGGTGCCAACTCTCTGGCAGGTGAAAGGAGCGCATCCCATGCTGCGCATCGCAAACGGCAGTGTGATGCACCCGCGGCAGCTGGTGGGCCTGGTGGGCCTCGAGCTCAAGCCCGACTCGGCTGACGGATCTTTTAGCCTTTCGGTGCGAGTGGACGGGGCTTGGGGCAAGGCTGACTCTTTTTCGCTTGGGATCGTGCCAACTGGCACCATCGATTTCGCTCGTGCGCAGGACTTCGTCGCCGGTGAGGTTGGCTTCTGGTTCAGCCCGAAGTCAGGCACCGTTTGCGGCATGTTGGGCGGGCAGAAGGCCGAGTTCACCCTGCCTTCTTTGAAGGGAACGCACCCGCGCTCAGCTGGAGACAAGAAGAGTGCCACACTTCTGAACGGTGCCAGGTGGGGCATGACGTACAGGCGAGGAAGCCTTGAACTGTTCATGGCGATGCCAGATGATGAGCTGCGATCACTCGGGCACGTGCAGTGGCCCTGGGGCGAAGTGTTGCCGCAGCGCGCATACTCGGCTGCAGTCCTCTTCGAGCCCAGGCAGGGTGGCTCTGGTTCTGTAGGCTGGCCCACCACCAACCAGCAGGGAACAGGCCCTTCACATATGACGACAAGTAGCAGCAGCCGTAGCAATGATGCTTACCTGACGCTTCTGGGGGACGGCCTTGGCACGTTTCTTTCGGACGGCGACGGCCACCGACCATGGTGTCAGACCGAATACCAGGATGAATCCCGAGGCGGTGCTCCATCGACTGTGCCAGGTGACAGCAAGGAGGATGATAATGAGGATTTCTGGTTCTCGGAGTTCCACACGGAAGAGGTGCCCCAACTGCCTCCATTCGCGATTCCGGTGCCGGGTTCTGGAGTTCAGACTCGGCCGGGCACCATACCTGGCGCTTGCGGAGCCATGATCGGCGAGGAAATGGACGATAGCGACATCGAGGAGCCAGTATATTCCTGGCGAGGAAGGGTTGCGCCTCTTGCTTGATAGGATGAGCAATTTAAAATTGTCTGATTTCTTCCATGATGGAGTCTTCATGTCCCTATAAGGGAGTAGAGGCCCGCTGCGCAAGTCGCCGGAAACAGGTGCGGATAAAAGCGATGCTGCAAAGCCTTGAAAGACTGTATGTATGCTAGCCTTGCACGCCGACACATCTCCCTTGTTTCGTACACGCCACGAGACGGTGTTTGCTGTCGGAATGGGACGGGGAATGGGTGCCCTCAAGACCGCAGTGCGATGCTAGCAAAGTCAGTCTGCGACTGTGGGCACGCTCGTGTCCGACCGAAGCAACAGTTAGAACACTCTTTCGAAGACACTGGATTGGTGACACATCCTTGAGTTTCCACACCCGAAGGATTGGACACTCACCGACTTGGACAAGGATGCAACGACGGAGGCACCATGACCTTCGGCTTGATGTTCAGGGCCCGATGGTAGGCTTCGGTCGCAATCTTTGGAGGTGACGGGTGTAAGATTTCGAACTAATTCAGAGTTTTCAGACTTGGGCTGTCCACACCCTGCAACCCCAGGCCTAATCTAGCTAGCTGATGGAGACCTGGGTCTGCTCTTGACGCGCTCTCTTGCCCTTTCAAGCATAAAGTAATCTGAACCTCACTGGCTTTCCACGTGGCACTCCACTATCAAAGCCGCTCTGCCTGGTAGTTTCAGAGGAAAAGAGAACCCTCGAGGATCCATTCAACACGCCCTGCTGTCCGCCGTTTGTGCGGGTACTTTGAGAATGGACGGACGTGAACAAGTCAACCTAACTTACTAGGTTTTTTGTTTTTGAGTCGCCCAGTAAACCCCGATCTCCAAATCCCCAAACTCTGAACATTAAAACCTTCTGCCTGACGTGTCCGAGTGCAAGATGCTCTGGTGAGCTGCTGAACCTTGCAAGACAACCCTGCGAAGACGGGTCTTTCACCCCAAGGCTACCGACTACCGTCGGCCGAAGTTTAAACATCAGGCATGCGCACGGTAAACCTTCAACGCCCCACAGATGTCACAGCGATAACCCAAGAAACGATCCCCGAATCCCTGAATCCTAAAGCCTAGAAACTCAACCCCCTTAAAGCCTCAAATCCCTAGCTGAGCACCTTGAAACAGTAGGGTATGTTTCCGCTCAGTCCATGTTAGTGTTGAAGCATCTACGCTCTCAAGCCGCGCAAAGCCAAACCGAAAGAGAGTCGCAAGGTTGGTCATCACAGTAGTAGCAGCAGCAGCAGCAGCAGCAGCAGGATCAGGAGTAGTAGTAGCAGTAGTAGTCGTAGTAGTAGTAGTAGTAGTAGTAGTAGTAGTCGTAGTCGTAGTCGTAGTCGTAGTCGTAGTCGTAGTCGTAGTCGTAGTAGTACTTGTAGTGGTAGTGGTAGTGGTAGTAATGATACGCGTATTGATATATTAGTGTTCGTAATGGTAACAGCCATTTGATAGCAGCAAATAGAAAATCATGGTCATTAGAATAATGAAAATAGGAATACTGATAAGAACAACAGTCGTATCATAACGATACCAATGATAACAACAATCGGAAGAGAAGGGAGTTGGAAGGTTGGGCTGATCTTCCTGGGCCGCGCGATGCAGCACTGGCTTGAGGACGACAAGGTCCCAATGGGATCCTACGGGCCGCTAAGGGATGACACGGTTTTGGGTTTTGGGTTTAGGGACATTTAGGTTTATCGTTTTTCTTTCATTTTTCTTAGTTTTTTGCATGTTTATCTTCTTTCTTGTTATGGTTTCAGGCCCTTTCCCAAAACCCTGAGGCCTCTGTAAAGCTTTTAGGGCCCTTCAGGGTTTCGGGAAGCGTCAGTTTAGGGCCTTTAGGGCAACATTGGGGTTTCGGGAATGTCAGGGCTCAGTCGTGGCAGAATCCTGGCGGCCAGGCACGGCCGGGGCAGATTCTCGCGGTGCTGAACCCTCGGCTCTCCTGCCGAGCTGGGGCGTGGGGCTTGGAGTCGTGAAGGGCTTCAGGGTTTAGGTTTTGTTTACAGGGTTGAGGGAGGCTTCTGGTTTGAGGGTATCGGTTTGAGGCAGGATTGAGTAGGGGCCCATGGACCAGGGAGGACAAAGAGAGTTGTGGATTGGGGTCTGAGGGTCAACTTGGGGCTCTCATACAGGTTCTGTGCATTTCCAGTGGCAGCTCTCTTCACTAGTCAGGTTTTAGATTGCCCACTGCTTGCCCCAGCCTCATCCCATAGAGCTTCCCAAGCCTCACCATCCATAGCTGTAGCTGAGGAGTGGTGATCACTGCGAGCTAGTGCGGCGAAAGTTTCCATCCCGAAACTGATCCAAGAATGACCTTGGCGCAGACAGAGCCGCATCTTCATCGAACGCCGACCCACCAGCAGCCCCGATAGCTGCGCTGTGCGTTTTACTTGGTGTGCGGGGTGCAGTTAGGCGCGTGCAAGGCCCCTAGCAACGGCCTTCTGCTCCCGGGGTTTACCCATGCAGGGCTTCGGTCTCAGCCCGACGGTTTCTCACTTTCCCCTTCAACTGCCCCGCCCAAACTTCTCACACTCGTTTAACTCCGTTTTGCACCCAAAAGATGGTTTACACTCATGTAATTCATTTTTACAACAAGATGGTGTTTAGGGTTTAGGGTTCATCGCGGAGACTTTGCTTCAACCGGCAGCTGTTTCTCAGAGCCGGGCCATCCTCTAGGGGGGCCCGGGGCGACCGGCCGTCCATGGACGATTCCATGGCCTCCAAGCGACTCATAGGTGCCCGGGTTGATTAGGGTTTAGGGTTTGGGGGTTTAGGGGTTTAGGGGTTTAGGGTTTGCCTCACGCGCTTAAGGAAGGAATCCCAGCGCTGATCATCCTGAATCCATGTTCCAGCTTTCTGGGCTTCACCCCAGGTACTTTGGGGTTCAATGTGGAAGGTTTAGGGACCCCAGACTCTACCGCTCCGAGGATGAAGGGTGGTAAGTAGCAGAATGGGGGGTCATATTTACAAAACTAACAAACTTGCTATACTTGCTTCTCCATGCCTCAGATGACGTGTACCCTGCAACGCGGGGCAGTTGTCACACCAAGTGGGAGCCAAAAACTATACTTGAGAAGCAACGACTTATTCCATCCGTAACCTACCAGGCAACTTATATAACTTATTCTCAAATGAGAAGTGCTCCTTGGGGCTGGGGTTCTTGGATGTTCGCTTTCTTCGACCCCTAAGCACTACGCCCTAATGGTCCAGACCCTAAGGCCCAGACCTCAAGTACTTTCCCGTGGCCCGCAGGCTTCCAGGACTTGCCGAACGTGCCAGACTCCGAGGACCGCTTGATGCTTTTGTCATTCTTTCGCTGGTTTCGGGATGTTATATGCAAATTTTGATTTTGGGTTTAGGAATTAGGCTTCATAAGAAGCTGAAAACAGTAAGAACGCGACGGAGAATAACAATAATAAGAAGCAGCAGCAGCAGCGGCGGCAGCGTCACACGTTGCCAGTGCCAAAGGCTTCAGTCTTCTCATTGTCTGTCTATTTTCTCCTCGAGGGAGTAAAAGCGTGAAGAGCACCGGCCGAGTTGCTGCGCAAAGTTGCTCGGAACACTACTCGTACTGACACTACGCCTTCGGAACCGGGAGGGACTGCCAGGAAATTTAAACACAAAACCTCTATTCTATATCCACTCCTGATCCGAAGCCCTGGGCCCTCAAGCCTCAAGCAACCTATTCTGAACCCTAATGCCAAGCCAAGAACCGTCTGTCATGAGCACCAAACTCCAAAACCCTAAGCTCTCAGTACTAGTGTCGCAATAGAGACTCGCCCTAAACCCTAGCACCTGAAGTAGAACTGTTTGTGGAATCTTCAAGAAGAGCCCCAAACTCCGAAAATCGAAGCCTTGTGTCCCTGTAAAAACAGTTTCAAAGTTCTAGCAGATCCCTCCAAAGAGCACACTGCACCCTCAAACCTTACAGATCCCTTCAAGAGAGCCCCCGATGCCCGAACGCCCTAAGCCCTACACCCCTGCAGATCCGTTAAGAAGAGCCGCAAACTCCGAAACCCTACATCCTAACACCCTAAACCCTAAACCCTAAACCCTAACACCCTGAAAGCGCCGGAGGAGCCGGGACTCCCCGGGTCCAACGCACCGAGCTTGTTGCCCCTCGGGACGAAGCCAGGTAGCCCATTTTAGCGGAGTTTACTTAGGGGTTTAGCGGTAAAGGGAGCTATAAGGCTTCTACAGAGGATCTATTGCGGTTTAGGGATTTATGGTTTAGGGGTTCATTGCTCAGGGGTTTAGGGGTTTATTGCTTAGAGGGTTGTCGGGGTTAGGACTTAGGAATTGAGGGTTTAGGGGTCATTGCTTAGGCAGTTCCGGGCGCAGTGGTTGGGGCTTATGGGTCCGGGGTTTAGGGGTTTTTGCTTAGGGGTTTAGAGTTAGGGGTTCCTTGCTTAGGGGTTTCGGGTTCAGGGCTTCCTGGAAGAGCACCAACACCAAAGGCTGAACACCCCCTCATAGTTACCCATGTTCCTGCAATGCTATCCTGCCCAGCGACTCCTTCGGCGTTGCAGAAGGCAGAAGGGCCATATCTAAATCCCAAGCTTTAAACTTGGACTCCTACATGAATAACTAGAGCCCTAGGCTCTAAACCCTGAATCCTACATAAATAACAAAAACCTCAAAAACCTCAAGCTCTAAACGACTTGCGTGTCTTTCAGTGGCTAGGTTCGGACGAATTCCCTGCGGTGCGACTTAGTCAGCTGGGCGGGTGGGAAAAAGCACTTTGAATCCCACCACCTAAATGATAAAAGCCTTCAGCTCTAAACTTGAACCCTAAATAATTCAAAAAACTAAGAAACCCTCAGCTCTAATCTTGAATCCTATGTAGCTGAAATAAAAGATAACAAAAACCCCCTAAACCCTAAACCTTCAAAACGCAAGAGCCCCAAAGCGCTTCTCCAGGGTCTAGGGGTTTAGGGTTGAGGGTTTTGGGATTTAGGGTTTCGGGGTTTAAAGTTTAGGGTTTGGGGTTTAGGGTGTGGGGGCTT